CTTCTATTGACTGAGGAAGTGCGTCTCTTTGTTTCTGTTGCTTGCCATGAGACGAGGACGCATCAATGTCGACAGCTCGCATAACCCATGTGACGGTGATGACAATACCATTTGCCATGCCGTCAACGGGAAGGTGTCTTGCGTTGCAACTACAGATGGGATCCTTCGCCGGTGCCGGGACGGACGAAGCCCGCGTTTTCATCTCTTGCCAAGGACATGTCCGGCAAGCATACTGGTAGGTTCCTTGATGGATGACATGGCATATAATTGCAACTGCACCGAGCCCATGAGCCCCTCTTGATCTGTTACCCTCGACTGAGCACTGGGGGAAGTGCCTGGCCCAATGAGACAAAGGAAGTCACCAAGGCAGCAAAACAGATCAAGATAAGAAAGAAGCAATTGCCACGGTATGTGTCTTTTGTCCAAGGCAAGTCACCCCACCACTAACTGGGACCGGACCGATTTGTACAGGCTAGTAGGGCTCATAACCCAATATTGCTCATTTTTCTCTTCCATCCACTCACATCCCTCATCAAGCGAACGAACCATGCCAAAAAGATGCAACAAACCTCCGCATGGAGCAACATATCCAAAGCAACATTGCAATGCGTCGACAACAGCAAGAAAAGAACAACACCAGGGATTCCAACGTGGTCCCCCACCGTAGTACTAACCTGGCCCGACGATGCTTAACTTCGCTGAGCAAACGGGAAGCGGTGCTGTCATCGTGGTATGGTCGTTCCTGCCAGTGTCAAAGGTGCAAAGCCTTACAATAAAATGAGAAAAACGTTGGTATCAGTGGGGAGCAGTTGCAGGGAGGTTGGTTCTTGCCATTATTTGTGGAAACAATCCGATTGAACGTTCGAATGGGCGGCACAATTAGCGTATTGACTGGAATCTCGAAGAAGAAGTCGAGGCAGAAAGCATTGCGAACGGTCCAGGCCTCTACCGGTATGCATACAGACATACTGAGGCCGTGCCGTTCACGTAGTCTAGACTCTTCGATCTTGTTGGAGAGTTTGGGCGGCGGAGGGATGGTCTTGCAATAGCTTTTGATCCACTCAGGAGCCGGGTTGGGAGCTGGACTCTGGGGGTCACTTTTGGTGGCGCGATCACGGATTGGTGTTGCTTTGGAAGGAGCAAACGGACCAGCAGTCTATCCGGTGACGAGTACTAGAACCCGTAGACCTCACAGTTGCATAGATATCTAGAGGCAAGGCAATATTAAACGGAGTATCATTGTACCAGTACTAGTACTGGTACCATAAAATGAAGAACGGCCTGATCTAAAGAACCAATGAAGAATGAAGTCGGGCTCAACCCTGTTGTACCAGTGGAGATGAAGTGACGTCAACCTCTTGACTGATTTTCAATTTCAGTCTCCGAAGAATCCTCCTTAACGTATCGAATCTAATTACCATAATTACTTAGCCAAATGCTGGGGTTGGCTGGTCTGTCACATTTGTAAACGCCGAACAGCAGGCATAAATGAGGTTAGTCCACTTTGGCATCAACAATTTGACGAGCCACCGAGCCTTTGAACTTGAATGTGGAAGGAAACTCCGTCCAATAATGGGACAACTCAAACCGCTCTTCTCTCTCTTGGGTTTGGAAATCAAAGTTAGAAGTAAGCTTCCCACGCCATTTCTCATGTCCCGGTGTCCATCTATCTAGTAGCATCTCTCCATTAGAAACCGATTCAAGCCATGACGACGCTACCGGTACCTTGCCGGGTCCATTATCTATCTACTAGGCGAAAAGGGTTCTTTGTTTCCTTGGTGCTGGTTTTGCTGGCTCTCGTGGGGATTGTGCATGCCAATGATGATACCACCGGTACCACTGTTTCAAGAGTGAGGGGTCGCCGGCAAGAGGAGAAGCAACAGCAACAGCAGCAGCAGCAAGAGCGAAAACTGGCCGAGTTTCGAACTCCCTTTACCATTACTTGGCGCATTGCGATTGGCAATGGTGGTACGGATCGACAACCCACCCCTCAGGAGTACGAGTGGGTAGTGGAGGCTACTACCGATTGGTTCCTTTTCAACATTGAAGAAAACTATGGCAACGTGGCGGGGCTAGAACTCTCGGATTTGGAGGCTACCTTGGTCCCGGATCAGACCTCCTGGGTTCCTGATTCCAGAGACTTTCCCCATCAGATCTTTATCGAACTGGAAGCTGTCTGGGAGGCTGATAATGCGGCATTGGTGCCAGATGTCGTCGACTTTTTGGTGACACTCAATGACAATTCCAGTGTACGAGACTTTATTGTGGACTACCTATTGGTGACGGGGACAGATTCGGTCTTTCACTTTAGTCAACGCGTCAGCTACACCACGGCTTCCATCCCGGCACCGGGTGTTCCCACGCCCCCCACTCCCAGCCCACCGGTTCCAGCACCACAGCCGACGGCACCACAACCCACACCCAACTTTGCCAATGGATGGATCATTCCTGTCAAACTCACGTTTGATTTGGCCATTGGAATGGGACGAACCGATCGATTACCTACCGAAGAGGAATATACGGGCTTTCAAATGACAGGTAGGTATTCACTTACTTTGTGTAGGAACATGTTTGATTGGGTTTGCTTTGTTTGCTAACTGTTATGCATCCTTTTACTATCATCAGTGGACCAATGGTTGCTGGAATCACTACGTGCGGCTTACGCCAGCGAAACAGAGTTCTTTGCACAAAATATTGAAAGCTTCATCACCGACAACAGTTGGGATGCCACTCGTACCAGTCCCCATCAAATAGTCGTGGAGGCATTTATTGTCTACACGGCCGATACGCTCTCCCAGGTACCCACCATTGTGGAATTCTTTGCCACATTGAGGTCCCCGGCAGTCTCCTTTCCTGCCTTTATTGATCCCTACCTGCGCAATGCGGAACCCTCCAACAATATTTTCCGCGCCACGGTCAGTGGAGGATACACGTCCACACAAAATGGACCACGCTTTTCCTCTGCCATTACGGCCAATCCAGCGGCTCCACCGGTGGCAACCACTCCTACATTAGCACCCGTACGAGCCACCCCGGCACCTGTCAATCCCAACCAAGTCATTGTGTCGTCCGTCACCGTCCGATCCAATTGGACCTACAGTGTGGGAGGATCCTTTGGCATTGATGATCGACAACCTACACAAGATGATTATCTGGGTCTCGTCGACTCGACGCATGAATGGCTCAATCGCATCATGCGGGAACATTACAATGATGCCAGCAATGCTGCTCTCAACTTGCCCTTTTTCGTCGGCGCCGAAACATCCTTCGTCCAAGGCATTTATCGACCTAACGAACAGCAACAACACTTGGTCGTGAAGGATGTGACGTTTACATTTGCCTTGGATGAAAATGATGAAACGGAGATTATGCCTTTTATTGATGACATTTTTGATGTTGTCGAGGCGGCAGATTTGAATCAGTACGTCTTTCTCTATGTGCACACTTCCGAGCCCATTGAAACCAGTGTCTTTCATGGAGTTGATTCGGTGAATTGGGTATATTCCGTCGACGAGTACACGTACGTACCGAGGCCGACACGTCCACCCACGCCTGGCAATGGCGATCAAGGTATGGGTAGCTACACGGGGATTGATCGGACGCAACTGGACAATGCGGATTGGGTGTCCGTATCATTGCTGATGCAATATCGCTTGACGGATGCTGCGGCGGCAACCGCAGGTGCTGCCACATCCGCCGAATGGGCAGGGTTGGAGGAAGCGACACGGCGATTTTGGATTGACACTTTTGAGGAGGAATTTCAGAACAATCCAGCCTCCAACTTTGTCATTGTCGATGCCAAATGGGAAACCGACTCGACAATGTACGATCCAAACGCCGACTTGTACAAGTATCGAGGACGATTCGTCACGGATATTCTCTTCAGTGAAGGATCGGTGGTATTGTCCAGCATTGCAATGAGACAACGCATGGTCAATATGCTGTCTGGTTCGAGCTACATTGCACAGTATGTGCACACAATCAACATGCCTGTTGACAACTTGTTTCGACAGACACTCCAAGTTGGATGGGACTTTTGAACCCCCTTTCACCCTGAAGGCATGGTGTGATGGTAAAGGCGTGTTGTCCGTGCTCCCAGAATTCCTCCTCGAAGATTCAGTCAGACTGTTCCCGCTACTGTATAGTGTACGAGAGATTGTCAAACGCGATGGTTGGCCTAATATAGCGTAGCAAACAAATATCTTCTGTAACAAAAGAGCTGCATGGTACTTCTGACATCGTCCACATCCTGTCGACCACCCCGTAGGATTGTTTAACGAAGTGCTTGCTGGCTACGTGCCGTTACTGGAGTTCAACGGGGGTTTAGAGTAGGTGGATTATCTACAGAAGGAAACGAGGGCCAAGTGTATTGCAAGTTGTGGTAACCAAAGTTTCCCCTTCAGAGCATCTCGGGCTCTCCGATGTAAACACTTTCCTGAGCCAGAAACCTTACGACGCTTGCCTGACACTGGGTGCAGTTGATGATGAAGGCAATGTCGATCCTAAACAATCATCCAGTCTAGTATGTTTTTTTTTTTTTGGTGGTGTCTTGTGTGGTCTGCAGGCCAAGCAACCATTAAATAGCAACTTGGTGAATGCTACGCATCAGCTACGGACCACAATCATGACAGGACACAATGCTTTCGTTTGCTTCCACTCTTTGTGTGTTTACTCCAGATGGCTGGGTTTTCACGAAGGAGTCCATACAAAATGTTGGAGATATCTTCAGTTGTGGCAGGGTTGTGGGTCCGATCCTCATCAAAGAAAATTCTGCCCTCCTTGACTGTCACTCCCGCCAGCAAACAGACGAAATTTGCAATGGTGGTTTCTGGATCACCTGCTTCCTTGCGCCCAATCCAATTGAGGGCTGTGTAGAAGGGCAGCAAGTGTTCACTTGGATGCAGACCACTGCGAAGATTGCCTCTTGGATCTTCATCAGTGCAACCATCACTAAAGTTGGCGTCGCCCAGTGTTTCATTGGAGCTTTGGAGAACAACCGCTAGAATGTCCTGGTATCTTTTGAACCTTTCGGGTTGAGCGCCACCTTGTCGATAGTTGAAACTTTCCAACGTTTGGTTATTCTCCAATGCACTCAGGATGGGATCCAGTCCTTTTCCCGTTGCGTCACTTGTTGCTCGAATAGTCAAGGTGTCAAACTGCGAGTTACTGCGTAGGATATGGCCAATTACAGGTGTTGCTTTGGAAGCAGCAATATCAGAATCAACACATACACTCAAATGTTTCAGAGATGGCATCCGAATTAGGCAACATTTCATGAACTCAAGAGCGAGAGGATCATTTTGTTTCACAGATATCCGCAATTTCTGTATCTTGCACTTTGACAGCACTTGATTGAATGACTCTGAGGCAAAGAAGCTTGGTTTTCCCTCTTGGTCTTGTGAGGGCTCTGGGAAGTTCAAAAGAAATAAATTGCAAAGGCTAACGTTGGAGAGGACTTTCCGGAGAAACTCCAAAAATGCATCCAATTCCCAATTGCCACACCAGTTAAGAACATTTTGCAGGTTGGTGCTGTCCAGCATTGGATCCATTCCCTTGAGAGCTTCTTTATCAAATGATGCCCGTTTTGTGCTGGCATTTTCATCAACGACAACCCAGGGGAAAATATCGATATCATTGAAAAAGTCACAGGGAAATTCAATTTCTTTTGTTTTGCCCGCAATCATTTTGAAAAGACTTTGAGTTAATTCCAGGCTGTACTTCCAGTTCAGGACAGAGCACAAGCAATTGGACATCACATAGTTTTGACCCGTAGGCATCAACATTTCTGGATTGATATTCGCCATTGTGACAATTTCCTTGTCGGTGGGTCTATTGGGTCCTGGTCCTTGATTCACCGCAAACACAAAAGCATTGTCATCAACCAAGTCAGGACGAATTGTGGCAAGAAAACCAACCACTCCTGGCTTGGCTCCACATTTCAGGACGTTCCGAAAGAGTTGTTTGGTCAATGCTTCTGGGAAAAATCCATAAAAAGTCTTGACAGTTTCCAAATCTGCCTTGGCCATCAACACCATTTCCAATAGCTGATGCTTGGAAACAGTCCAGTTGGTGGTTGGCACTGGGTCATCAAGTGCGGCAAACAGAGCTGAGTGGTCCATACTGGTAGTATCTCTATCATCAACAGGAGAAGCAAGGCTTTGTGAAATCACTGAAGTGGACACTCCGCTCATCGTGGATCTTCACGACCGTGAGCATTGGAGTTTTTAAAAGCTATTTAAGCTGGTTAAGCTGTTTAGAATTTTCACAGTTGGATCGAGAGTCAGTTGACCGAGAGTCAGTTGGTTGCTTCCCAGCATCTTTTCTGTGGTAGCTCTAGCTAGCTACGTACCCTGGCTAGCTAGTAGACTACCGTAGCTATCTCTAGCCAGACATATCGATGAACTCGCTGTGTGGCAAGGTCTCTGGTTACACAAAGTCAGACATGATACGATTCTTGCACGGGTAGGAGAGTTTTCCAATTTGCTAGCTAGCTACCGGTACTCGAGGAGTAGTAGACACGAGTGTGCAGGTTTTTCATTAGAACAAACCTATGGCTACGGTTACATACACAGCAGTCCATCTTCGTTTCATTCATTAATCTCTGTCTCGTTATTATCGCACATTTTTGGAAACCTAGACCAACACGCAAACAAACACAAAATATAGATATGCATCCTCACAAACGAGAGAAGATCTCATGGTTAGCCTGTCTCCAACAACTTATTTCGCATTGACAAAGTTCCACTCCACGCGAGAAGCATAGTGGAAGATAGAATCTTCTGGTGCTTCCAACCACACGTAGAGACGAATAAACTCGTCAAAGTCAAAGCCATTGATGATGCTCCAGTACGCTGAGTTGGCCATGAGTGTGGCCCCATCCATGAAAGCAATGTCAAACTGGAGTTCTCCATCGTAGGGATAATCGATACCGGCAGTGTAACTGTTGTCCACCCAACCCACCGACAACAATCCAACAAAGTCAGAAGAGGCGTCATCTTCAAAGTAGGTCACGAACGAGTGAGTCAGGAACTTTTTGGTTGCCATAATGAGGCCATCCCATTCTTCTTGCGTGGGTTCCATGCGAGTTCCAGCGTATCGGTCTTCGTTAATGTCCAAAGAGAGCGTCATGAAGATACGAACCGAGTCCAAGCTGGTAAGATCGGCCAAGCCACCGTTGATCACCGTCATTGGCAAAGTTGGTGCCGGACCAGGGGCATCAGTTGCTGCCACAGTAGGAGCAGCAACAGGAGCAGCTACAGGTGCAGCTACGGGTGCAGCTACGGGAGCCGACACCGGAGGCATTGGATCGGCAACGGGAGAAGCGACAGGTGGCGTGGTTGGATCGGCAACGGGGGTTGCGACAGGTGGCGTGGTGGCTGGGACTGTTGGTGCTGGAACGGGCGGGTTGGTGGGGCTTGCCACAACACCATCTGCAGTCCAAGCGACGGCTCGAGTTCCAATGAAAATATTGAATTGAGGAGGAGCTTCATGCAAAAAGTTGAGCATGTAGTCCAACAAGTTGGCATTGGTGAGAATCCTCAAAAGTTCCAATTCCGAGGGTGCACTTTGTCCTTCTGTCAAGGTGAAATCGTGACGGGTGCGCAAGACAATGGTGTGGGCCGCCTCCAAGGTGGAATTGTACGTAGCAGAGAGAATTTGATTGGTGACAGATTCGTGCGTGGGACTTTCGGCGTCCGAGTTGTAAAAGCCCGTGTACACAGCTTCCATCCAATCGTCCGTGGCCTGAAGGTAACCATCGTATTCGTCCGTGCGTGGTTGACGATCCGGGATACCAAATCCAATGGCAAGCCTCCAAGTGGTCGTCGTTTCGACAATGCCATCGGCATCCGCTGCCAAGGGTTCGAGTGTGGGAAAGGTATACGTGACAGTGGGTGTGGCCACTGCCACTGTAGGTGCCGGCACGGGAGCCGCCACTGGTGCCTCGGTCGCTCCCAAGGTAGGAGCAGGAATAGGAGCCGGCACTGGGGGCATGGTCGCGGGCACGGGTGGCATGGTTGCCGGCACGGGTGGCATAGTTGCGGGCACAGCCACTGGAGCTGGCACAGGTGGCATGGTACCTGGCGTTCCCATGGTAGGAGCCACCACGGGTGCCGACGTTGTCAAAGGTCCAGCAGGAGTTGTAGTGGACGACGTGTATCGAACCAATGAAACTTCTCTGAAAATCGAGTCGGTAGGATCGGCATTGCGCAAATAATCTTCAATGAAGACAGTAACATCAAAGTTTCCCGAAATGTCTTCCAGCAAATCAATGACACTCGGAACATCCGCCATGGCATCGGCATTGAAAATAACGTAGCAGTCTTGAGGAATGACGTGGGCATACGTCTCGCCCTCGGTCCAGGTGGGTGCAGGCTCATTGGTGGCAATAAACTGGTTGATGGTAAAGGTCTCAGATTGATCGGCATAGTATGTGACAAGCTCGGCAGTGAACCAAGCAACGGTGGCATTGAGCATGCCACTGTATTCCTCGTCGGTGGGTTGACGGTCAGTGGCGGTTTCGGCCACTGCCATTTCCCAAGTCACGGCAAATGGGACCACATACGAGCCAGCAAAATCGGTAGCAGAGGCAACGGGTGGCAGGACCGGTGGTTCGGTGGGAGGGGTGGGTGCAAAGTCTCCAGTGGGAGCGACATCCCCATTATCGGTCAGGGTATATCCGACCCTTTGACTAAATCGGAAAATACTGTCGGGAGGAGGAGAGTTCCACAAGTAATTGCGAGTGAAATCCTCAAAGTCGTAGCCTTCATTGATGCTCATGATAAACTCCACATTGGTGGGCAAATCTTCAATGGCGGCCGCGTCAAAGTTGGCATAACACTGCATCTGAATCTTGTGCGGGAATTCGGCGGCAGGATCCCAGCCAGTCTCTGCATCCACCAAATCACAGCTACTATCCACAAAGGTAAAGCCGGCATCGGCGTAAAAGGAATTATGGGCAGAGTTAAACCAGTCCACAGTGGATTGACGGACCCCTTCGTACTCCTCGGGAGTGGGCTCTCGATCGTCCTCCGTGAATCCATTACCAATTTCAATACGCCACAAGAGAGCATATGGAATGGTAAAGGGTTCCAATCGACGGCTCCCTTGCTGCCGAGGCTTGGTAGCTTGGCGACGAAGATTCGACGTCTTTGCCTTCAGTTCCATCTGCCTGTCAATGGAGAGAGTCATGGGTGCTGACTGGACCATTCCCAGTAGAGCACCCACGCAAAAGAGCATCGTGGTGGTGGCATGAAACATGGTGGTGGGAATAAGAAGATCAAACTGCAGGTAACTCGATACCCCTCCTCGACTATCTCGCTCGTCCTTTCACTGACTGATTTCTCTTTCTTGCTTTCGCTTGACAGAGTCCGAAGTGGCAAGATATGACCAACAACCAAGAGGAAGAAAACCAATTGACGAGTTGTCTTCTTGGACAGCAAGGCCAATATTGGCTGCAGATCCATTTTGAATTTACATGGGAAGCTGTGTAGGTGAGTACCACCATTCTACGTGGAAGATCTCCCGCATAATTACGATCCTCGACGCACGGGCCAGTCACATGTTTCGCAATACAATTTAGGATACATTGGTTTGCGGTTAGATACTCCTAACGCTAGCTCAATCTGTATCTAAGTGATCGCCTGTTCCCTCGTTACGTCGATAAATCCCGCTTAGAGGCATTTAGACTCCCACTGGGTCACTTATACACGGAGATGGTTCTGCAGCCAGGTGGCTCTTCCGCCCTTACCATCGCATTGCTATGACATACATGTACCGGTGGTTCAAAGGTACTAGTATCTGGGCTATCTATCTATCTAGCTAGCCAGTGCTAGTCTAGCTTCTAGCTAGGTCTACATGTAGAAGTAAAGTATGCAGTACATACGGTGATGGTTGTGTAGATTGCAGAGTTTGTCCCCACAGTATATATATGTATAGAATTACCCCTGAAGTAAAATAGTCCCAGTAGAAAACATTGAAATCAAATCAGAATAGGTATGCAGGTAGGAAGATGGATAGTGTGTGTGGATGTGGATACGTAAGTGTGGATGTGGATAAGTAACGGTTGGTCATGAAGGGTTGGATGGAATGAAACGTGTCGTCAGATTTGAATTCAAGGAGCACCGGCAGCCACTGCTCGATGGGCCGCTTCTTGCTTTCGCTTTTGCAGCTCTTTCTGAAGCTCCGCTCGAGCCGCCAAGTTCCGAATCATCTGTTCGTAACTCGCTGCCGCTCCCGGTGTGGCTCCATCGTCCACGCTCAAGCAGCACAAAATGCCCATCGGAATGCCCTTTTTGGAGTGCACGTGGGCGCCTGCTCCACACTTGCCGCATTCCTGGTACACGCACTTGTTGCCAAAGCCCAACTCGCCGTGATCGCCGCGAGTCTTGCCGCACTTGGAGCAAATCTTGCGAAAGCTCAGGGACTTGGGCAAACCCGAACTGCGAATGACGTCTTCGTAGGTGGGAGATGATCGCATGGTTTGTGCGGGCGGTTGTTGCGAGGGAGTCATTTGTTGGCTTGGTGGAGGTGGTGGAGGAGGAGGCGGCGGTGCTTGCTGTGAAGCAGGATAGCCAATGTGAGGATGCATGGGCGGGCTCCTCGATCCATGGTGAGGATGAGACATGTGAAGATGGTGATGAGGGTGTGGTGGCAAGGCATGATGATGTGCTCTGGGTGGAGTCGAAGCTGTTGGATGGGGACTGATTGCCGGATGATGCATATGGTGCGGTGGTCCGTGGTGGTATCCGTTATTGTGCGGAGATGCAACTTGTGGATATCCGTAGGGGAACCTGGCTGGAGGAGGGAAAGGCTTGGTGAAATGCATATGAGGCATCCTTGACAACTGAGGAGGAGGACTTTGATCTGCCGTGGAGGGTGTCGTGGCTGCCGCCGTTGACGGTGTCGTCACGGGCGTCGAGTATTCTTCTGGGAAAGGTTCCCCCGACAGCTTGGGCTTCTTCGCGGGCGGCATGTCTTGATGTTGTTCTTCCAAGGACGAGGACTCGCCCGAAACCCGGCGGGCATTTTTGCTAGTATCGCTTGCCGTGTCCTTGGGTTCCCGCTCATTGCTGAGTTCGGGAGTGGAAACATCCGTGTCGGTGCTGGTGCTCTTGCTAGTATCGACCGGGCTCCTACTCCCTCCGAGGAGCTCCGTCATGGCAACGGCTGCCATGATTGCCATTCGGTCTTGGCCTTTTTCTTGCTCCAAAGCACTCAAACTCGGCTTGCTGTCGGCTCCCAGATCCAACGAGACACGGCGGTGATGTTCCGCCGGGTCCATGTACACCGTTACTTCCCGTGGTGGTCCTTCTTGGTGGGGTTGGATTGGGACCAGTGGAACCTGATCATGGCCATCTCCGGGTGGTCCTGCCTCTGGAAAGTTCTTGCAATTGGTGCATCGGCAGTTCAAACCACAGTGGGCATTGTGCTGAAAGCATTCACAGTACTGCACAAAAAGACCAAGAGGTTAGACCTAATCTTAAACGCTTAGCAAAAGAAACAAAAGTAGAATAGACTTACCTTTTTGAGACAAAACGATCGACGGCACTTGCAACCATACTTGTTCATCCTGGTCGGTGGAGCCATTGCCGCTGGTGGCGACGGACGGATGGAAGCCATCACCTGCGATGGGGAAACCCGTGGAGGATTGCTCGCGTAGGGCCAGTTGGCAGGTGATGATTCCTGAGGCTGCTGGTGAGTTGAAGCAGAAGAAGGTGGAGGAGGAGGAGGTGGTGGTTGCTGCTGCTGCTCCAAGTGCCGTGGCGGCGAGGAGGCTGTTGGTTGGGGTGTTTGCGGGTGGGGGTACATGTGATGTGATGCGGGTGGTTGATGATGATGCGGCACTGGGTAGTGCCTTGATTGAATGGGCATGGGCTGAGGTGGTGGTGGCTGATGATGGTAAGCATGGTGCCGATTGAGCCAAGTCATGGCGGCATTACCGGCTGCCATGGCTGCTGGATGACTGGCGGTGACACGGAACTTGTCATCAAAGGCACTTGGATTGCGTTCCAAAATGGTGCGTCTGGCCGCATCAATGGCATCTCCGTGGAGGGCAGTATTGTGACACACATGACACTTGCACGTTGGACCACAGGTCGTGCTAGAAGCAAAGCACTGACAATACAGCTTGAGACATCTGTAGTCAATAGAACAGAGAAACATACTTAGTTGAGGACGATGCTTCGCGGAGATCACAGCTACGTCTGGGCATAGCCAATAGCGATACTTACCGACTCTTCTTGCAGGTACATCCTCCTGCAGATCGCATCGTTTCTACAGCTGATGGAAGCACATCCAAAGGATGCACTGGAGACCGTCGGACTTCGGAATAAGACAAGGGGCGAGGTGGACTCCCACCGTTACTAGCAGTCCCTGATTGAGGATGATAGGCATGCTGGAGGACGGGAGGATACCCGTGATACCCTTGATGCGACATGATAACTGGGCCGTAGGGATGCATACGATATCCATGTTTGGAGTGCATGGGATGTGATGGGTGTTGTTGTGGGGTCATGACCGACACAGGACTGGTACGGAAGCCTCCATGGTGCATCTCATGGAGTGCATGAGGTGTGGATGGTGGCATACCCTGCTGAGCATGATCAGGATAATGAGGTGGCGGAGGAGGTGGAGGTGGCGGATTGGTAGGAGCTCCTTGTGACTCTGGGATACCGGTATATTGAGATGGTCCCTGAGGAGTGTCGGAGGCAGTTCCTGGGGTAGCTTTCTTGTCGTCTTGAGGAGTCGCTCTTGAAGATTCATTAGCATTATGACCTTCAGACTGGCTACTACCAGGGGATTGCTGTTGCCATGGCTGATTATTCTGCATCTTGGCTACTCTGCTGCAAGCTTTCGCGAGAGGTTCCAACCCGAAGGTGGGTTGACTTGCTAGGTTGACAGGTTGACCGTTCACAAAGAAAGACGAACACCGTGTTCGTCAAAGGAAAAATAACTATTCCGTCCCAGCCAAGACAACAACCAACAACAACAACGACGACGACAACACGGTCCACACCAACCCAAACAAATGGATAGAACTGGAAGGTATTTGTGACGATTGTAACGAAGAGGAGCTGGGATTTCTTTTTGGCAGCGGTCGATGGTATATTATGGAGCTTTTGGGCGCCTTCCACAAAAACGCCATTCGTGTGTCCTTCTCTGTGCTTATCTTTGATAGTCCGGTAGTTAGTGGTATTTAGAGAGGCGGGCTTCCCGCCTCCTCCAATTCTCGGGCCGTCCTCTAAATGGACTAGTCTATTAAAAAGTATTCATACCGTAGATATTGATAAGCATGAGGTTGGAAGCAAAGGAATCCAAGCCATTTGCGGCAAAATGGATACCATACTATTTTCCAGAGTGGAAGATCTCACCGCCTCCAATTTCCAACAATAGTTAAGTTTGTGGTTTAGAGCTGTTAGAGCCAATATGTAACTATTGTTGAAGTGTTTTGCCAAAGGATCTTCCACTTTTAATAGTTATAAGTTTGCCGGAGCACCTCCGTGTCGATGTAACAACACGCCGCTTTCGCTGCAACGGACTTTTCCGCCGACCAAGAACGGCGAAGCCAACAGGAAAATTGTCCCTCTTAGTTTGAATTTTTGACCTTATTCAAATTTGGGACACAAAGACTGCTCGCCCGCCCTTGTCTTTGATTTGGAGGGGAGATTGGTCTTCAACTGGGCAGAACATGATCTGAGCGCCAAGAATGCGAGTACTGAGTGTCATTCCGATGCCTCCCATACACAGCTTTTTGTCCGCCCAAAATGCCGTTGTCTCTTGGCTTTGACTGGTTGAATCGATTGATGAATGATTCTGTTAGTTTTAGGAAGCATGCTCAGATGTTTTTATGTAGTACTGTGTGCAGGTGGTGCCCTTCTACTAGCTAGATTGCTTCTACCTGAAGGAACAAGTACTACCGCTTTTCTTGGGCGGGGTGGTTTTGAGAGAGTTGTTCAAGTGTTTGAGAACGTTGAACACAACCTCATTCTATGTACTAGTACTTCAAACAACTCATTCCTGAGGGCTTGCTAGCTAGAGGCGTTGCAAATACTAGCTAGCTAGTGCAGCACAAAAGCCAAGAGTTGAGTCTCTGTCTCCATCAGTCAGTCGCGCCACCAGAACCCAAGAAAGGACATGTTTCCACGGTGTGCTCAACCACGCTTCATCTTCCAGGAAGAGTCGTGACCAGAACAGGGGCCAGCTGCACATACCAAGCATGAACCATAATATATGATGGACTGATGATATCAACGCCACCCCACAGTAAGACCTGATCCTGACTCGCTGCTTGATCCACCACGGCACAGCCTAGCCAGTACGATCCGATAACTGGCCGATTTCCCTGCAATTGCTTTAGCACCAACGAAAGGAGTGGCAATCCCCTAAGCAAAGGCTCCCAGTATTATGCTCCGGCATAGTACGTAGCTAGAGTCGAGTCTGATCTCGACTCCGTCTCCAATGACGGGAGACTAGATTCCCAAGACCTACAGGTACTGCTACTAATCAATCGTCTTGGTACCGGTGGCTGCAATTGAGGATGCTTCGCCCGGACGAAAGGAGTGTCTCGAACGACGGGAGACTACAACATGTACTAGTACCGGTACCAGGCTGCCATCCTCTTTGTACCATACCGGTACCAGGATTTTCGCCCCCACCGCCCTTTTCCGCTGCTAAAGATATCGCACGCACGAATGAGCTGACCGTACTTTTACATGTAGACAACGAACGCTGCGGACCCGGATTTTCCTTTTCCACGCGGTGTTGACAAGAGTGCAATTAGAGGAACCAGCATCGTAACTGGCAACAACCAAACATGGCATGATCAGTTGTCACCATAAAGTTTCTCATTAGTTAATAAGAAGTGCGGAAGCCAGAAGAAGAAGTGAGACACCCGCGGAGTCATACACCCCTTGGGAGTACTGTACGTAGTCTATGCCTGATTTAGTCTTTGATCTTGTCATCTTGTCGATGGTCGACAATTTCCTGGACAAAACAGAACCCAGCCAGGTCATCGCGGGAGCCACACCCATTGCTGGTTTCTGAAAATTCTTTGGTAGTAAGCACAAAACAAACAACACAAGCATTGACCATGACAAGACCGCATCTCCTCTTCCTCGCCGTAGTGGCAATAGTATGGCAGCCACTCTCCGCTCAAGACATTGACTGCAACGCGCTCCTTCTAAATGACACTACCATCCGGCCCGCCGTCGAAGCCTGGCTGAATAGTGGCACTCGACAAGAAACCGAGGATCTGTACGGCCCCATTAGTGAATGGGACACAGCCTGTGTGACCACCATGAATTCCCTCTTTAAATTTGCCAAAGACTTTGACGAGGACTTGACCGGCTGGGATACCAGTCGAGTCAAGCACATGGATTTGGCCTTTGAAGCCGCGAGCAACTTTCGGGCCAATGTCAGCACGTGGGACACGACCAACGTGGTGTCGATGAATCGCATCTTTTCTCGCACCAGTCTGTTGGATGCCGATTGGACCGGTATTTCGCAATGGAACACCAACAGTTTGACCGATATGCGATTGGCCTTTTTGGCCAGTGCTGGATTTTCCGGTGATTTGACGGGATGGGATACATCGCAATGCTCCAGTGCCGAACGACTCTTTGAAGGAACATTTGCCTTTACCGCCGATGTGTCGGGGTGGGATCTCGACAAAGTCTCTTCGATGGACAACCTTTTCAAAAACGCCGAACGATTCGAGGGCAAAATTGGTGGCTGGAAGGTTTCCTCGGGGGCGCTCCAAACGATGCAATACGCCTTGTCCGATCTGATTGAATTTCATCCCTTGGATCGAGAGGGAAACAACGTGACATTCCTCGATTGGAATACGGAAAATGTGAACGATATGAGCTTTATTCTGGACGGCACCCAGGATTTTGATACGGACCTTATAGCCGGTTGGAATACTTCCGCCCTGACACACCTGAACCTGGCGTTTTCCAGATCCAAGCACTTGCATGGAACCTTACAATCCTCCTCCTGGGACACTAGCAAGGTCACCAGTTTTTCATCCCTATTCGTCTCGAGTGAAAACTTTACCAGCCCTTTGATTTCCGGTTTTGATACCTCCAGCGCCATTGACATGAATGCCTTGTTCAAATTCTCCAAATCTTTCCATTCCGATGTCTCGGGGTGGGACACGTCCAAGGTGCGAACCATGGAAGAATTTGCCTACGAATCGTCCGACTTCATGGGCGAGGGAATTGCGGGATTTGATCTATCTCGGACTACCAGTCTACAAGAAGCCTTTCGCGGGGTTACCAATTTCCCCATTGATTGGCTGACCGATTGGAATACCAGCAGCCTCAAGCATGTGCGAGATATGTTTCGAGATGCCGAATGGAAATTTGAGGAGGATGCACCCCTTCCGTTTTCTCTTTGTTGGGATTTCGAACAAGTCTTTCGCATCTATTTGGAACCACTTACCTGCAGCAGTCCGAATGTTGGCATTGATTGCGATTGCATCTCATTCTCAGTAGCGGAATACATGAATACTGACTGCGGTGGTCCACCGTGTCTAGGAACCCCACCCGAGGATACTGAAACTGACGAGGATTCTGTTTCCGCCGACAACGCTACTCTTTTGGAAGAGGAGGTGGTTCTACTAGAGTCCGGGTCGATGAGATTGCTCATGAGATCATCATCACCCATGGCGATACTTGCAACCGTGGTATGTTTTTGGATGCTGTAGAGCAGGAGGAGTACGTCGCAAGAACACACCGAAGTCTTTTGAGACTTGTCAGACAATTTATCTCTTCGAAACGGCTCTTCAAACCAAACCAGGCCAGGCCAGGCCAGGCCGTGCCACGCCATTTAATCGCCTGCTTCTGAAAGCAACAGATGATCGTTGCTGCCATCCAAGGGCGAGTAACAGTTTGGAGAACGCGCTGTGCCAACATACGTATTTTAGTTCATGATACCAGCTACATTTTGCTACCGGTACGGACGATATAGAATCACTGTGTTTAGCTCCGGTTTTCTCATCTCTGGCTAGCTACCGGTAGTTACCATGTACGATTCTGATTCCTGCTAGGCATTCCCAGCTTGAAAGTAGAAACGAAAGCAAACCCACCAAAAGGACGAAGCCTCGAACCACCGTAAGTACATACTACTGGTGGAGAAGGAGAAAAAGGAGGATTGAATCAGAATGAATGAAGGGAATCGAAACTGTACGCGTAGAAGACGAAATTCAATCCAGACGACAGCATTCGGCTCTGCTGGATGCCTGATTTCGGAACACGAGACGACAACGCGCACCTCTGTAACTCCCGCTTTTCTTGCAACGCGCAGCCTCCCCGTTGGTGCTGCAGGTCGCTCTCTCTCTCCAAGAAGAATACCGTACCGTAGCAAAGGATGAGATTGCCACTATCCACGAAGCAGCAAAAGATGCAATGCTCCATCCACTTTTCTTTTTTCTAGTAGTCGCCCTCATTTGGCCGCATTCGGTAGAAGCTCGAGTGTACGATCACCAAAGCATGGGAAGTCTCAAACGCCCGGCAAATGAGGACAATCAACCTCGAATGTTGCAAGGTGGATTTCGCCGCAATGGACGTCGAAGTTCCAGGATGAAAGTGCCCAACAAGGCACCAGTTTCGTCACCCTATTGCATCAAAATGTCCCGTACCATGATGTCCTCAATGAATAAACAGTCCTCACAGAAGATGAAGCATCGAATGAGAAGAAGAATGGACCGCAACAACAACAACAACAACAACAACAACGACCAAGAAGAAGACCACCATCGAAGACGCAATTTGAGACGTAGGCGCAAGATGAATCAAGCGGATCAACAAGCACCACCATATGATGATGATTATGCACGCGGCGAGGAGTTTGACTTTCACGACGGTGATAACGATGATTGGTGGTATTATGATGACCCAGATTGCTATGATCCTCATGATGTCATCACCCGCTTCCCAACGTTTGTTCCGGCAACTGCCCAGCCAACTAGCACCACCACATCCAGCCCAACATCTGCCCCAGCAACATCTGCACCAACGCCCACGACAGTAGCCCCGACAGTTTCAACATTGGCACCAACATCATTCAGAACTTTAGCGCCAACAGCCACAACATTGGCCCCAACAGCTACAACGTTAGCTCCAACAGCCGCAACCTTAGCCCCAACGGCCACAACATTGGCGCCAACGACCGCAACATTGGCACCAACAACTACAACATTAGCCCCAACAACCACGACTTTAGCTCCAACAACGACAACATTGGCGCCAACGGCATCAACATCTGCGCCAACAATGACAAATGTGGTCACGACACAAACTCTGACAAGCTTTGCTATTGAGAACACTGAAGATAGGTTCCCAACTCAAGCAGAAATTGACGGTGTAATGGAACAGCTTGCACTATTCTACAGCGACCTGCTGTCTGCAGAGTATCCCGCAGGAAATCCAACATTTGAAACTTTTACACCTACAGTCATAATGGACAGCAGTGAAGTACTTGGTCCATTTGTTGTCACCGATGTCACATACACATCTGAAACAGTCTTTGTGGACTCTAACAACCTTCCAGCATCAACAGACATTGACAGCATTATTGAAAATGCCGACTACCAGGTTTTCCTAACAAACTACCTCCCAAATGTAACTCCAGCTAATTCCATCTTTCTTCAGACACAAGCAGTCTCAAGCAACAGTGGCATAGCAAGGATCCCACGTGGGAAACCTGGATTGGTCGTTTCAACAGAACCAGTCAGCAACATTGGCTCAGTGGGGGCGGTAGCTGTAGCGTCACGGGAAAAATCTGGCTTGGTCCATTCCACGGAACCTGGCTCAACCAGTAGTGGCTCTGCTGAGGTGGCTGTGGCAGCACGGGCAAGGTCTAGCTTGGGTCATTCGACAGAATCAGCCTCCAGCAACAATGATTTAGGACGGGTGTATGTGGCATCACGCGCCAGAGATGGCTTACAGCTGGATCACCAACGTCATCGCCATCGGTAAAGCAAGCGGATGATCTGCTTGCTAAGAGCTTTACTCTGGCGCCTTCAGTTGGGTATCGGCTACTATGGCTACATGGCGTAGTCACAACAATCTCTGAAAGGTGAATCGTCTTTGTGATTGTCGTGTCGGCTGATGATAAAGGCTTTACCGATTGAAACGAACAGGTTACGTTCATTCTGCAATGCGAGCAATCAGCCGCCAAAGTTGCCACAAGAGCTGCCAAATTGCCAACCCGGGGGACATTCACAAGCAGGATCGTTGCAGCAGGATGTTGACCTAGCATCCCAAATGCATCGGTCTTCTAAGGCACTACAATGGCGTCGGTGACAGTTTCGGCGACGGCGAACAAAATGTTATGGGGACAAATTATTGAATGCCAACACGGGGCTAATCAATCTCTGACGGGAACTCACCGGCAGTGTCTTGGTTATCATTTCAGTTTCATGGAAGGGGCATTGCAAATCAGGAGCATTTCTAGTCTTAAAAGCCAATGGGAGTAAGCACTCTTTTACATGTAGATCGTTGCCAATAATTTACTATTGGATTTTGTTCCTGTGGTGCATGAACCGCAACGCAAAAGAGACTCGGAGAATGGCACGAAAGCACCAGCCTTGATTATCCGAGTGACTCAGTCACTCTCGGATCGATCGGAATTCGATTTGATCTGGCTTTTGTGTTGAGAGCAAATGTGATGGGCTTGCTCTCAGGAATAAATGAAAATTCCAGATTTGCTAGCGCACCTCTTGGTCGAACGCGCAGCTTTCACGTTTTTATTGAGCCAAAGGCCCAACCCAACTCACATGGGTACCGGTAGGGGGCTGGTACCACTAGCTCGCTAGAGAGTCTTGGCATACCGGTAGAGCCATAAGAAATGCTGTGATCGGGGCTGGTGGGCCGGGGCGAAACAGCCAAAACAAAAATGAGGAGATGGCTGTTGGCGGTCACTCTTCGAAAGCAGAATATGCATTCTCAATTTTCGCTGTTCTTCCTTGTCGTCGCACTGCTTGGTCAGTTGGCGGGGGGCTCCACAGCATACTCCCAGAGCATCAAAGGAAGCCTCCATGGCAAAGCAAATGAGGAAACTCAATCGCGACTGTTGAGAGGCGGATCACGGCGCCACAGAAGGAGGAGATCAAGGATGAACAGCAAGTCTTCAAGACCTCTCCCTTCACCATATTGTATTAAGATGTACCGGCATGAAAGTACGATGTCTTCAAAGAAAAGAATGAACAGAACGAGGCGAAGGATGGATCGCAACAATGACAACCACCAAGAAGAAGAAGATTATCATCGAGGACGCAATTTGAGACGGAGACGAAAGATGAGTGCCTTCAAGCAAGCAAGAAGTCATCATGAGTCACACTATGACGATGATGTAAAAAGTGATGTTCATCATGATGATTGGTACTATGATGACCCAGATTGCTATGGTGTTGGTGTTGCAACCCGCTTCCCAACTTTTGTCCCTGCACCCACACCAACAACAGCCCAGCCATCTTGTGACACCACATCCAATCCAGAAACATCTGCACCAACTGCCGTTTCGGCGTCTGGTGCGCCGTCGGTAGCTCCCGATATCAACTTTCGAGATGGCTTTCCTTGTGACGATCCGCCGTTTACGCTCAATCGATCGCCTACAAATGACCCATTCCCTCTATATATACCCACCACAGAAAATCCCGACCTGTGCTTTCTCCGCATGTCCGAGGATGTTGGTTCGGGTGATTTGGATCAGCCAGGATTTTCCAGCACTGCCTTTCTGGATTTGACCTTTGATGCTGACAATCCCAACCGCGTCTTCTCCATGAATATTGGATACCGTGTGTATGGCGCCGATGAAGGTTCTGCTGATGGCATGGCTTTTGTGATTCATCAAGACAGCAGAGGAAAATCGGCCCTTGGAGCCGGTGGTGGTAGCATGGGTATCTATGCAGAGGATGGGACGGGCATTCAACCCGCTTTGGTCATTGAATGGGACACGGCTGAAAATTCCGAGCTTCTTGACATTGGGGAAAACAACATCCATGCAATTGTGGTGGATGGTTCCGGAACGCTAACAGAACTGGCGCAAACGTTGAATATTCCCATCCGAACCGATGATGCAGGGGCTACATCAGGGCGTATGTGGGTGGACTATTGCGATGGTCAGACTCTTCAAGTCTATCTCAACAATGCTGGTGATGTCAAACCTGCTGCTCCCAGTCTTGAGGCTCCTTTTGATATGAACAGTATCTTTTCGGGTCAGAACTTTGTCACCGGATACGGCGTTGCAACAGGACTGGAAGCTGACTTTCACGACATTACGTCTTGGGAGCTCGTTGAATCTTGTGCAAGATGAGCGAAATTTTGATATTGATGAGAGGCAAAGGGGATGGTGATTTGTAGCTGGAAGAACCAGGTACCAGGAGGTTACATTACGAAGGCTTGTGGTCGGGGAAAGGCAAGGAGACAGAACACGACAGAACAGTTGGGTGTTTGCGAGAGCTACGCATACTTGGTCGGGAAGCTGGGTGGGGTAAGGGAAGGAAGGGCTAATAGTGCTGATGAAAACGCACACTAACACAGGCTGGGACTACTGCACCTCAAGAAGAAGCTGATTTTCATCCAAACCATACTTAGAATTTGTTTTTATCCAACCGGACTGCACGAAGAGAAGCGCCGTTACCATCTGTGTTACAAGGTTGGCCATTGAACTTGACAGTGAGCTTGGTTCCACCTGTTGCCAAAGTGTGAATCGAATCACATGACGATACAATTGCCATCACCATCGTCTTCCAATTTCATTTGTGCCAACTCTTCCCATGCCGCCAACGCCGGCAGATACTCGACATTGTTGATCATTCCAGTGTTGTCCGAGTCGCTCTCTTCGATGATCCAATCAATGTCTTCCTGCGTCACCTCTAACTTCTTGGGGCGTGACATCTTTTCTTCTCGTTCTTGGAGCATCTTTAGGAGTTCGTCCCGTGATAGGTACCCATCTTGCTCCTTGTCATAGTATTGAAATATCTCATCAATCTTGTCGGCGTTTTGGATGTACTTTCCGTACTGTATCACGGCTCTTTGAATGGCTTTCTTCCCCACGGACTTGTTTCCAGGAATACTCTCACCTCTCTTCTCTTTTTGTTGCAGTCTATGCGCCGTGTCCACTACCAATTGCACCGCATCGGGATCGAGACTAATACTACTAGTACTGGCAATACTGATATCGGAAGTTCTACCAGTGTTTCTCGGGAGGACCCGCTCAAGAAGCTCTGGAATCTGTGATGCATCTAGCAAGGTATCACCCTTGGAAAGTTCCTCAAAAACTTGTCCTGTTCGATCCCACAACACTCGACGCCGATCCGAGGCTTTCCTTCGGATACCTCTGTGTTTCTTGCCAGTGCTTGCCATTTTCTCTTTTCTTCGTACAGCCGCACGTGTGGATCCATAACAGAGAGAGAAAGCCAGAGCTGAGGGTGATACCAGTATGCCATTGCCAGATACCGGTACCAGATACTAGTATGCAGATTGCCGATGCGATCTCAGAAGAGGTGAGGCGTGACTTGAGTCACGAGTTCTCTGCTTCCGTCTTAGCGAAGACGGCAGGGTCTTGGCATCTTCAAGTTTCTTCCTCCGCCCTTTCGTCCTGGCTAGCTACCGTATTGAAAGTAGACAGCACCATGTCGGCAAATCCTCCTCCCAATAAGCGGCTCAAAGTAGCTACTGTTACTGCTCTGGGTTCTCTTTGGGAAACCACAGTATTTTCCTTTCTGGACACCAAGACGTTGGTATTCAAAGTCAGGGGAGTGAATCAAGAGTTCCGTCGAGCAGCTGGAAGCTTGGTGCAGCAACGAATTTTGGGGCATGAGTGGAGCCATACGGCAACCAACAATGACATGGATGATCATTTGCGGCATGTGACATTGTCCATTCGGAATTTGCACACCAAGAACTACAGCACCCAAGAGGATCTCGTGGGACGTGCTGTACAAACCTGCGAGAAATGTTGGGAAAGCAAGGGAATGTCAGACCCTGGTGTCTACGAGTATCTTCGTTTTATTACCGAAGAAGAAGATGATGATGAACGAGAGATTCAGGATGCGGGTTCGGACGATTTGGAATTGAACAATGATCTCGTCCGAAACGCACTCCAGGAAAAGGGAGCACTCTTCGCCAACGAGGGGTATGGCTGGGAGGTGGAGGTTTCATTCACATCCAAGCCGAGTGTCTTGGAGGAACTCATACAAGGAACTCCCTTTGAGAAGAATCCATTTTCCATTGTGGAATTGGAAGAGGAAGATTTGAAGGAAAAGGAGGAAGCCATTTTTCTCGCAAGGTGCATGAAACTGTTGCTAGAAGCAAAGATATCTTCTAGTACAATGGGTCTAGCCAAGCAAAAATGCCTCATCTACCATCCTGATTTTGATGAAGCCATTGCCTATTCAGGAACAGAAAATTGCCTTCAATTCATGGTGACAACCGGCGATGGCGGCAAAGAGGTTCCATTGGAACTTTTCATCCGAGGAGAAATGAGATCCAGGGATTATCTAGACGGCTTTCTGTAGTCTAACAATGTTGTGAACGTGCACAATCTTCACTGCCTCTGACCAGGTGTACCGAAAGGACAAAGACACAGGTCTCCCAAAGAGGACCAAGAGGAGAGAGAGTGATTTATACTTGGAGCCGCTTGTTGCGAGGGGTCATCATCATGGTGCTGGATTCTATACTGCTGGCCGACCTCAACAATGGCAAACTCCACCATCATGGTGCAGGATGTAGGAGAGGGCAGCCAGGGAAAAGGCGGGGCCGCGTCTGAGAGGTGGCAGGGCAGTGGCCCAACCAACTAAACACTACACGTTTGCAATCACCAACAACGCCACTAGACTACTAGATCTGGGAGCAGGTGCCTGCTTAGAAGTCTGGTTCTGCCACACTAGCTAGTACTTACATGACGCAAAGTTCCCAACCAAGGAGACAATTGAATGCTACACTCCGCCTGGATGGTGCAACCCCGTTCTTTGCTTGCAAGAAGATCAATCCTCCAACACAATCTTTAATGAAGTAGGTGCAATGTCATAGGTTCTGTGTTTTTCTTCTTCGAACTCGATACGTGGACAGTATAGAATGTCATAGGATTGTTTGCGCTCAACCTGAACAATCTCGCTGTCATGCTCTGATTCGCTCCGGAGGCCTCCAGGGCCGCTTTCATGCTTTTGGGAGGTGGAAACTTCGTCTTGACCTCCCAGGAGAGAGTGCGAAGCAAAAATCTTTTCGAGAAGAACTCCAAAGGATTCCCAAGTTGTTTCACGATGTTCGCCTCCAAAGTCATCTTTGTTGTTTCTTCCAAAACATGGTGCATAATAAGTCCATGCCCACGTTTGTCAACCAAGATGGTGCCACAGTCCCCAAGATGTGTCAGGCGAGTTTTCCC